CAGTCTGGGGCTGAGACAGGGGTGAGTGCATTGGGATGGAGGGTGCTGGGGGGGGCTGGTTCTGGGGGAAGGGTGGGTGCATTGGGAGTTAGTGTGTGGCCCCAAACTGGAGGGAGTGGTGCAATTTTTGCTTAAATTTGGTCTCTCCCCCCCTTTTTTTCCTTAACTCTCCCTGACAATTTTTTCCCCTTTTGAGGGGGGGGGGAGAGAGAGGAAACTGTATTTTTTGTTAAACCATCTGGCAACCCTAGCTACCGCACTGGCTCACATCAGACCCTAAAGCTGTCCTCACTAGGCATCTCAAAAGTCCCCCCTCGAGGCAGCAGTGTGAGGTTTAGACCAGCAGTTCCCAACTTTTTCCAGATGGGGACCCATTTTGACAATTCAGGAAGACGTAGTGTGAGCCAAGGCAATTCAAAAATGAGGGGGAGGGAGGAGGGAAGTGCCACCTTTTTTAAATGTTATGGCAACCCATATTTGGGAAACCCTGGTGGCAAGGTCATGGCAGGAGGCATAGTTAGAGCATTACTTGCTAGAACCTGGCTGTGCTCCCTCACCTGTGAGCACCATATCCAGTATCTCTCCCATCCATGTGTAGCTGCAGCATGCTTGCTGCTTCCCTCAGGCTAGAAATTCTCTTAAGTGTTAACACTTACAGCAAACCATTCTTCCATCAAACATCCCTTAATTCATATTTTTGCACCCTTACTTGTGAATGTAGCCACTGGAATGTTCTCTTAACCCTTTAAAGCAGTATAAGCATTTCCAATTTAACACTTGATTGTGCATTAGTTTTCATGCCCCCAGAAAGAGTTGAATTAAAGTATTTGCTACAGTTGGCCTGACTTACATGAAAAATAAGCTACTAACAGACTTTTATTCATCATCAGAGTTAAGAATATTTATGGGTAAAATTGCGTCCTCATGACCTTTAGCTGTCCCATTGTGAACAGCAACTTAATAGCCACAGTAGAATAGATTGTGTGTTCAATTCATTACCTTCCCGAGACATTGAGCAAGCAGCGTAAGCATTGTTCAACCTCTTCCTTGCAGACTTTTAGACAGGTCATTTCCTGTAGTTTTCAGAAAACTGACTTCACTGACATTTCATTTTAAACTGACACACCGGATGTTTTTCCCTTTAGAAGAGATCATGCTAATACAGAGTATCTCTGCTAGTGTGTCTAGATCATGCAGAACAGTGGGTACAAAACAGGGAGTTTCATTGAGCTCACTTTCACATGCACCTGCTGCCAGGCTACATTCTTAGCCAATGCACCTAGACCATGTATTATTAACAAAGCCACTAGATTAGTTTTGTTCAGGTCCTAAGCAAGTGAGACACTTATTTCTATAAGACAGGTGGAAAAATATAACTCTGTAGTTGTGTCAAGAGGAAAGCTTGAGACGTTTTTAAAACTAAATCAGTGTATGAAGTCTGTGTGCTGACAAAGTTAAGCATATCCTCAAAAGAGGCAGCTAGCGGACTTGTAAGATACAAGTTAAAAAAAAAAAAAAAGGCAATGGAAGTATGGCCGCGGGGGGGGCGCGCAAGGGGGGGATTGTAAGAAAAAAAAAAAAAAAAAAAAAAAAGGCAATGGAAGTATGGCAGCTGATGTGCAGTCAAGGCTGCCTGCACTTTTAAACATTTTTTTCCTTCCCCCAATTCAAACAGAAGTTTTTCAATTGCCTTGTTTCCTGCTAGCTGGGTATGGGAAATGCTTCTTAGATTACAGGGGTAGTGTTGTTTTCAGAGACTGATCTCAGTACTAGAAAGATTAACTACAGTTTGAAGTACATTTATGTCTACATTTTTGCAAGAATAGAATTACATGTTAACACTTTAGGCATGACCAGTGCTTAAAACACTTTCCTTCCATCCCCACTGACTAGTGGAATTTTTTTTAAAAAAAGCAAGGCTCACCTCTTCAGCCTTGAAAGACCACATCATTACAAGGTCTGGCTGTAACTCTCACATGCCCATATTTAGGGACCTCTTCACTGGCCACTAGTAGATCTGTAATCAGCAAGCAGAAGCTGAATGGCCTTAGATAAAGTTTAAAGCCTCATGGGCTAGCATTCTATTTCCTTTTTGTTTTCTCACTTAACATTGCAGAAGCCCTTGACAGAAAAGTACTTATTTCCTTAAAAAAAATCTTGATATGAAGGTAGGTGATTAGTCTGTGGTGTGAAGGGGTGTTGCCACAGCTGTTACTATTTGTACACAAATGGACAGATACAACACCAGCTGCAGTTTGTTTCTCCTGCTCTGACCCCACCCACCCATTCACCACCTGAAGTGATTTGGAGAATAGATGCGCACAGGTCTATATGGGCTATTTTATTCTGAAAATTACTTTAGCTTTTGCTCAAAAGTAGGTTTGTTTTTTTAAAAAAATGCATTTGGTATTAGAATACCTTGCTGCTCGTTTTAGTGAATTACAGACAGCGCTACACAGTATATATTGAGTGAGAAATACTCTTAGCTGACTTACCGCCTTCCAAAACACAGGCCCTGTGTTCTAGTATTAATACATGTCTTTCTTCAGTATTTTTGCATATTGGTCTCAGTACCTGTTTCTTCCTAGATATCCACCTGGCATGGTCAGTGTCGCACCTGGAATACCTGGAGACATTCCTGTTACCCACAATCTTCCAACAGTGGCACATCCTTCCCAAGCTCCATCTCCTAACCAGCCCACAAAACATGGGGACAACAGGGAGCACCCTAATGAGCAATAGCAGCTAATTTTAAAAAAATTAGTCAAACTTGGGACCAAGAGACATTGGAAAGAAGTTATACAGGAACTAAACATGGAATTTGATACAAAATTTGTTATGTTGATTTTGGACCGATGCATCATTGATGTTCCAGTGTTAACTACAATGCGATAGCAGTCAAGACTGGGGAGAAAGAAACCCTGAAGAGATCACCTGCACTGAAGTGCTGACAACTAGGATGATATACATTAATGATCAGCTTTGGTTACTGTGTGTTAAGTTTCCTTCATCTGTGCATCAATCACAAGAATAAAATAGAATTCCCCTTCTCAACCTTTGGGAATAACAGGGCCTATTTACCTGCATTTACAACATTGCATTAAGCTAACCTGAAAGAGTTAACATAAGAAATTTAAGAGGAAACCATCATGTGGCTTCAGCCCTTTCTTTACTCACTTGTCTGGTTACCTCTTTTTACTGGAGGAGGAAATACTGGCATAGAGATGAGGAGAAAAATTTTCTTGTTGCAGTCCTAGCTGGCCAGTACTATATTGAAAGTTCTCTTAATAAAAGTTTAATTATAGCCATTCAGGCCAGGAAGGGAAGAGGGAAAGTGTCAAATAACACTCCCCTTCTAAAACATCACAGTAGAAATGTCTCTCTCATCTGACCGATACACTGAATAAAGTAGCTGTAAATTCAGTTATGGCCCCCTAGTGATGCAAAAAAAAAAAAAAAATATTAAGTTTCACACACTATTTGTACTCAAATATATTTTCTCAGTTTTAAATCTGCAGCTATTTTATCGAGTGCAAGCGTCTTGAGCTGGAAAGGGTTCAAGAAGAATAATGTTGCATTTCCTTATGTCTCAGGAAACACTTTTTATGGTAACTTGTCAGACTGTCTATGAACAAACCCACTTTTTTAGACATTGATAAGAGTCTTCTTTTCTTCACGTGATATTTTATACAAGAACACTTCAAAATGTGTTATTAGATGTGACTGATTTTAACAAATCCTATTAGATTTGTATCAACTAGTTACATGTTATATTCATAGTCTTTTGTGAATCATCGCCTTTTTTGTTTAAAAAGATGGCCTATTTTGAGCCTTTGTATGGGGGGGTACATTCCTGTTTCTGTGACAAAAAAAATCTTAACTGTCCCAAACAGAAAGAACAATGGCTATCAGAAGTATGTTTTGCTTTAGTGTGTTACCGTTATTGTATTTGTTTATTGTGAAGGTGGACATTTAGCGTTCAGTGCAGTTTTCAATAAAAAAAGTGATAAAATTTCTATAATTTTCTGAAATGTAGAGCCCTCAATGCAATTTTAAGATGCTTTCAAATAGAAACTCTATGAATGTAAAGTTATGTCATAACAGTATTAATACTAGCCTCTAAGACATGGCTGTACAACTCTACTGAAAAAGGACAGATCCTCTGCTGGTATAAACTATCACACCAACTAAGGATCTAAACTGCTATGTTTCTACACTACATATTTATAATTTAGAAATGCTGGAGAAACTCAAGTTTAATCTTTCTGATTCATTAGGAGATTCAATTTTAAAAAACCCTCCGTGTGTTACCTTCTGCCCCATGACTTTTCAGAAAAATAGGCATTTGGGATACATACTCTTGCTGATATTTCAATTTGTGCAACTTTCATTTAACCTGCATATTAAAGAAACTCACCATTGCCTCACTGTGCTTTGGGACAAGCTTGGCTGTACAACCATTTAGTAAGGCTTAACACTAACCTACACTAGACAAAATGCTAGCAAGTTTCTGGAGAATCAAGCTTACAGCTGACTGAGCAACACTAATGGCATCAAGTTTCACTGCATGGAAGGACTACTCTTATTATGGCCTTGCCCTTTTAAAATTAATTAACAGAATACCAACATCCACTTGACTATGGGAAGCAAATAACTGGATGGGAAAACATCTGAAACCAAAAAGTTTCTAATTACAAAACTTTGTATTTTTGTTTTAAATTAAATGGAAAGCTATTTACCAGCTTCAAACATGTTACAGAGAGGTCATACTTTTCATAGCTGTCACTCTCCTTTTGTCAATGATTTAACAAAGTATGAATTATTATTCACCAACAGCCTAGAGAAACCAGGATACTACAACAGGTTAATTAGAGAGAGGACATTTGGAAAACATGAAAATGAGGATAAAACAAGAGAAATCATTTAATTCATATTGTCAAGGTTTGAAGTGACTATTTTAAAAATAACTTGTTGGTACTGTCATTGTGTTTTAAAATAAGTAGTTGCATTTCAGATGGATGTAAATACTGTACTATGAAACAGAATAATTTGTGCCAGTAGTTCCTAGTGCATCCATTGCCAGCAGTGGAATTTGAACCTGGAAAATAAGTGTCCCAGCACAAATCTTGCAGAAAATGGTAGATGCTGTATGCTGTCATCCAGTACTTATGAAAAATAAGACCAGATGCAAATCAGAGCAAACTTAGACAATAGCTTCCAATTAAGTTTTACAGTTCAACAAGAACTAAAAATGAATTTAAAAAAATCCAAACGTTACAGACAAAGTATCATAGTAACAGGCTTCAGTTTAAAAACAACACTGTACTTCTGGAGTTGTGACCAGTACAGAGGGATTCAACTGTCTGTAGTGCAAACACCAACAAAATACACAAGGAATAGGTGAGAATGTGTCCACCCTAACTTAAGACATATTACTGGGTCCAAAGAAATATGACAGTGGTATGCTGCAAGTTTTTTCAGACTGAAAAGTTAGTATGCAAGGGAAGGAGAGAATAATGTATGCCAAATAGCTGCTCCTCAAGATTTGTGGCTTTTTCTTTACCTGCAAGCCAGTTTACTGCTGCTTTTGTACTAATACAAGGAAAGATGGGGGCTCATCCATCAATCAAGGACAATGTGAAGCAGAGTTTATCACAATATAGACTGTGGATAAAAGTGGCCAAAGTGCCACTACTTCATACAGTAAAGCTCACAAAAGTTACTTCTCAATTAAAACAAGAATTCTGCATTCTTCAAAAATGCTCGGCAATACTACTTCATTAACAAAGTAGGAAACAGTCTAGGAATGCTGCTTAAAAGCTATGCTATAGCAGCACTCCAGACGATTTCAGCAGACTTTGGTTTAATATATTAAAACAAAAGCAACACAGAGATTAAGTCTATTAGAATTCATGAATAGTCAAAGACAATTCCCAAATGCAGCAGGGCAAGAGTTTGAAATAAAAAGCCAAATATTGTGCTATTATGTCTTCACCACTATGCCAAATGGTAAATTTAATATCGATTGGGTCAATATAGGACTTCCCCACCAAGCCTTCAAGTATGTTATATGCCGAGATTAATGTACATTGGCTTGCGTGCTGGGAAAAGGCCAACTGATTACCCTTTCATCTATTGTAATGCATGCAAGTGCACAGTCATCAGATAAATGGGGTGGGGCTTACCTAGGGTTTTTTGTTTAAAAGTCTCACTTAATTTTGAAAACACAATGAGGCATGTTAGCCTGAACCTGTCATTTACAGATTAGAAGCAAGCAGTAATGTTTAGCAAAACTGTACAAAAAATATCAAAAGTGTCAATCCATAACAAAAGGGAGGCATAGATATTAGACAGTATGGGGTTTGGTTTGCTATTTAAATCAAAAGCTGTAATTGATTGTATAGTAAACGGACATTAAACTAAATTTCAAAATGAAAGGATGCGCAGTTCCTCCAAGTCAGTCAAATTTGGGTGCAGTCCACCAATGTTAGAGGAAAGACAAATCTTGCTTTTGCAACATCTTTCAAAAGGAAGGTATTTGAATCTTGCTTCATATGACTTGCAGCAACAGCCTGTCATGTGGGGGAAGATAATCAATGAAGTAAAGTGTTACCTGCTATTTGTGTGTTTGTCAATACCACTTCACAGAGCATACTGAAATGAATGCATGAGCTCTTAACTTACTTAAATTATCCACTGCTCAAGGTACATGTGGATTTCACTGTAAAGTAACAACAACAGCTTGGAAGAATGAGGACAAGGTATTAACTTTCCTCACTACAACTTAGAAAGCAAACTGAAATCAATATTATATAAGATAGAACCTGTTCACTATCTGTGATTCTTCTATTTTCACTCAGGTAATTCATACATATACTGCAAAAAACATGCATTCTGTTACCTGAAAATCTGTGCATGCACCAATCAAAGGAAACCTAGTGGCCAAAAGCTTGAAGACACAGTTCATAATAAACTTCAATGAAATTGGAGAGGGAAAAATTGCTAACTTAATACAGCACTTCATTATTTCTATATGTTTGGTGTTTTGTCACCAAGATTATCTAGGAGTTGTGCACACATTTCAATACCATCGAAGCAGCATGTGGAAGAAAAAGCAGCAAGTTCTTTAGTGTTTCCATGGCCTTAAACTACACAAAAATATGCACTTTATGGATCTTCTTTTGAAATTCTAGGTCATCTACTGCAAAGCTCCCTGTTCACCCACCACGCATAGTTTTCAAAGTGCTTATTAAAGAAGATCTGAATTGCATTGTAAAAAACTGGCATAAACCTTCAGTGTTTCTAAGCAAGGTTGGTTTCAGATAAACTTTACCCATAAACTACATGGCTAAATTTATCACAATAAAATTTCTACTGATGAATATATATGCTGGACTTAATATGTTAAGTATGGCCACAAGTGTCAACATGCAAGAAATTCCCGGATTTACATAGAGAAATATAAAATACAGTGCTTTGCTTTAAAAAAAAAAATCACTTTAGAATGAAGGTTTTTGTTAACTATTAAAGCTGCCATGTTCTCACAAATTTAAATGATCAGGGATTGTCCCTAGTAAAAGGTAGTTTTCACTTGCAATGTTTAACTAGGGTGAAAGACTCATAGTAAAATTGTGTACTGTACATGTCACAGCAAGACTGGGTTTGGACAATATGAAATTCTCAAATCACATTTGAGTTGGTAACTCCACACAATTGTTTAGTATGTAATCTCTGGAACAACATTTTTTTCTAAATAAATATTTGAAGCATACTGAGAGACTACTCTTAAGTGTTACAAAGTGAAATATTAATGGAGAGCAGAAAGGATTTTTCAGAAAACAGTTATGTTCATTCAATGAAAAATGTAGCTCTTCTTCAGTTTGTTCCTTAAAGATTTGATTTTATTATAATGGGCACAACAGTAACTAAAATAATAAAATAATGAACTTGTTTGTACTTCTGACTTGCTCTGGATAATTTGTGCAAACAAAAAAAAACCTCACAATCTGACCTGGGCATTAGTGAGGTCTCACATAAAATGGCCTTTCAAGGAAATGGGTCAGAAAAGTTAAAAAATGATGTAGAATACAAATTCTACTGTAAAAGTAAAATCTCAAAAGGAACAAATATCCATCTAACATGTGCTTTTGTAAGTGCCCTTATTTGAAAGAAATTCCTTCTCCATTTGAAGATGCTGGTATACTTTTTTCCTATTACACAACTTCTTACACAACCACATGCGATACATTTAGAGACAGATTTGCAACTGGAAAGAAACTAATGTTTTGTCTTGATAAAATTAGCTTTTTGTTTTGTTTTTTTTTTTACAAACTGTAGTCCAACCTCTCTTCACACAGCAGATGAACTCTCCCCATGCTGGTAAGAAAAACCTTTTACAGCATGTTTCTGCTAGATTTAAATCAATCCATAACAAACTGCTAGAGCACAACTCTAACTTGGGGGTCATCAGACACTATGCATTGATACTTTATTTTTATTTCATCATTCATCATCATCATCTTCATCTTCCTCACCATCAGAAAGGGATGTACAAGGGCGAATCTGTCGATAACGGTCAAGCCACTTCTCTACCATTTGCGTGACCAGAGGATGATTGCGCCGACGAGAGCTTTTCTGCATAGCAACAAGGACTCCACCCTCTGTCACACAGCAGTCTAGCCACTCTCTGAGCAGTTTTTCTTGCTGCTCCTCATTACCTATCTTTGAGGAGAGAAAACAGATTCAGGATGAAGGTTTCAAAACTGTTGACAACTTTAAGGAAACAACTGTGGTATATTGTGACAGCTCAGCTAAAGCAGTATCACTACTTTATTTAAATGCAGTTAGTGGGACATTCCATATTTATCGCATTTTTTTGTCTTCTATTTTTGAGTTTAATCTTTTGGCGCACTCAGGTTTCACTTTTTTTTTTTTAAATAACTGTTACATTATTAAACTCCACTGTACTTGCCAGTTTTCCTCACTCCCTCCTTATCTTTCAAAAATCCAGTGCAAATATTTGTGTTGCCTTCTGTACAGTAAAATTGATGAGGTTTTACAAAGTGCTTGTAATTAGCAATGCATTCCTTTTAATTCTAGGGCTGTTGCTTCTCTTCAAAGGTGGAATAGCCTTAACTAATCAAATAGTCAATGCAAAATGCATCAATTAGTCGATATTTAACATTCTTAATGTATATAATACTCCAACTCAGGGTACTCCTCGCATAGCTGGAGCGCCAGCTCCTTGCTGTGGGGAGGGGAAGCCCTGAGCCTTGTGGGCTGGATCAAGGCAACCTACAGGCCTTGCCCACTCATGGGCTATGCCTGGTAGGGGGGGGGAGTGGCTCTGCACAGAAAGGGCTCGCCCCTCATCCCTCTCATTGGCTGGGAATTGTGGCCAATTAAATCAGTGGGGGTGGTTCCTGCAAGAGCCACCTGTGCCCCTGCCAAGAACTGCTCCAGGGAGGAACTTCAATCCCCTGCTCCCTCCCACCCAAACCCCATACCCCCAGCCCACTCTTGTACCCTTTCACCCAAACCCTGTGCACCCAGCCTGCTCCCTGGCAGCCCCCTCCCATATTCTGAACCACTCATTTTTGGCCCCACTCTAGAGCCTGGGTGCGGGGGGAAGCCCTGAGCCTTGTGGGCTGGATCAAGGCAACCTACAGGCCTTGCCCACTCACAAAAGAGGAGTTCACAAAAATCTACTAGCTCCAGGCCCCCAGAAAAGTTAATTCAGCTAGGGAGCCCTGAGCATCAGGGCTGGAATGCGAGATGAAGTGAGGTGGTGGGTGTGGTTTTTTTGGGGAGTTTTTTGTGCATCAGTTGGGAGCCATGTTTAGGGCTAGGTCAGTGTGGATTTGGTTTTGGGGTTTTTTTTGGCATTTTTCTATTCTGTGAAGACCCTGCCTACCTCCGCTCTAACTCAGACTTAGAGCCTACTGATCAATAAACAAACTGCATTCAGATCAGGGCTGAATTTAAATTTTTAGTTTACTAAGCACCTAATTCTAGATATATCTGGGTCCATTTCAGGGGTACTACATTTGTATTTACATATAAAATACATGAACATTCACACGTAAAAAACTTAAGTTTTCAAAAGATATGAGAAGCATCCTTTTGAACAGTCTCAAATTATGGAGAGGAGAGCATTAAAGAAAAAGGGTAGGTGTATTTAAAACTTCAAAAATATCAGACTACAGAAGAGACCTCCTCCTAAATGTGGTAAAAGCTGTCAGCCACATAAATGCGTCTCACCTCTTGAGCGGAGAGGAAGTGAATATGCAGTAACTTCCTCTCACTATCGACCAATGGTAAAAAAGTAATGGTAACATCATCATCAGTGTTCAAGTTAGCACCAGCACCGCGATTGCCATAACCATCATTCTCCATGGCAACCAAAGCAGAGAAGTGGCCCCTTGTATAGCCCAGAGCAATAGGACTTTTCCAACAAAAACTCTGTTCCCATAACAAAGGCAAATATACACCTAGAAATAAAAGGAAAAGTGGATAAGACAGAATTGGAACCCTCTTTTACATGAAATGATTTTTGGTGGGGAAAGGGCTTTCAAGCAAGCATCTTCTGTTAGCTGAATATTGTCATAACATGGGCATTAAAAGCATTCAGCCACAAGTAGCTGGCCCATGTTAAAATGGATCAGGCTGTCCACTATAGTCAATCACTACTGGATTAAGTATGAGATTACAATATACATACCCTAATCCACCAGGATACAGCATGTATTGCAGTTACACTGCCCTTTACACAGTGCAATCAGCAATATCAGTAAATATAGCAGTAATACTTCATGTTTGGTAACCCCCTTAAAATAAGATACATTCCACAGCATAGGAGAATAAAACACACTTGTGTTTTCATTTTCTTACACCACCACCAGATTTTTCCTTACGGTTTCAGAACGTACTATTAAAAGAATCCTAATAATCTTATAATTCTAGTAACACTCTGATTATGCAGTTCTGAACTACATGGCAAACTTTCCTTGTCTGGCCAGACAGCCTTCATACCTTGTAGGCACACTGTAGTAATGGACTGCATAAAAAAGTCATACTATTTGCTTACATGAAAGCAGCATATTTTAAACCTAAAATAAGGCCCCATCCCCCAAAAAACAACCCAAAAACAAACACCCCACCGCACAACTGATTTTCACATGTCACTTTCAGAAATAACGTGAGTAAATTTCAGTGCTGGCATTTTTTATTTCCTCTAGAAACACAAATAATTATTGATGTATACTCCTGCATACAACTGAAGGAAAAGCATGCCTTACCTTGTGACAATTTATAAATTTGTGTGCAAATCAAGTGCATATGTACCATAACCTTTCATAGTATAGCTGCCTGCAATGTGTTGGGCAGCTATGGCTACAAAATAAAAGCCGTATCTTTTACTCTTACAACATTTGTGGAACACAAGTACCAAAAGGCAATATTGAAAAGGAATGCTAAATATTTCTGAACAATGAAAATCTATGAACCAGTCTGCCCATTTTTATACATACTTCCAGGTGATCAGAACTGGTCCAAATCTGGACTGCAAATACTACAGAGCAGTGTTTCCCAAATGACATTCTGCGGAATCCCAGGGTTCCGAGAAGTGATAATAAGGACTCTGTGAGAAAATTCCATTATATTAACATTTTATGATTTTTAAAAAAAATAATATTATGTGATTTGTTTTTAAATATGTGCAATTAAACTAAATGTTGATCTCATGACCTTATTTCGCATTTGTTTATTATTATTCTTACTTATTTGTGATCTACTTTTTCAGCTCCATATATTAGACTGTTCTTAGGGATTCCGCAAAATTCTTTCAAGTTTAAAAGGGTTCTGCGGTCAAATAAAATTGGGAAACACTGCTGCAAAGAAATATATAAGATTATTTCAAGTTTCTTTGAATTTTTTTCTAGTAGATTTAACCTAACAAATATGTTGTGCCCAAATTTAGATTTGGGGACTACTCCAAATTGAGTCCCCCTTTAACATTTTATTTAAATTAACTTTTTGAATTGTAAACAATGGTCATCTTTCCATTTGATTAACCTGACAGAGAAATAGATGAAGAATGCGGATTAGTTACCTCCCCCCCCCAAAAAAAACCCCACAAAACCCTACATTGCATAAATGTTTTGTCGTCTAAAGCAAAGGAATAAGCGATGCAAAACTGACAGGCAAGTGCAATGGAAAAAACTTTTGTAATTCCTCATAGTTAATTCTGCATGCATATTTAGGCAAAAGACGTCATATATTTTTAATCTCAATATTTGGTTAACTGAAAATACCAAACCCATAAAGCATTAATGGGAAACTAATTTTAGATTTTGAGTACTTCTACTTCAAAGGATGCTAATTACAATATAATTTCCAATTTTCAGAGGAAACTAAGCAGCATGAAAGTTAACAGGGCAAAAAAATGAAAGCAAGGACATTCACCTCTGTCTTTACCCATATCTCAAAACCAATACGTCTCAGATATGCAATATTATGAAGTTATACTAGTCTTAGATAACAGATCAATGAAAAATATTAAAAGACCATTCCAACAGAATTATTTAGGTCCTCTCCAGCCGCACCTCCATCCACAAAGTTTGGCAGTTGATTTTTAAATCAAAAATATGACTTTACGGGGGCCCACCCTCTCATCACTGATTACAAGAGTCAGTGAGAGGACTAACAATGAGAACAGAGGAGTAACACACAAACTACACACAATCAGCTGCCACAGATAGACTTCCATCACTATCACACAGGGAATTGTGCTCTACTGAAGAGGATCCCCAATCCATTAGCTGGATCCAAATACCCAGCAAAACTGAGGATCCTCCACAAAACCCCTGCATCAAAGAAACGAAACAGAAGCTGACCTCAACATAATACCAGCTCCTCTTCTCTGAGCATTCCCCTAAGCTCTAATAAAGCTGCAGGAAATGGGGGGAAATTCAGACTGGTACTGGAAATTTAGTGACATACACTAAAGCAGTGGTGCTCAAACTTTTTGGACTCTGTGTAAAAATGTATGCGGAGCCCCAGCGGTCCACTGATTGTATGGGTTGTACTGTACCTATCAATGTTTCCAGTTTGTCAACCTCACGGAGCCCCTGGAGATGTCTGAGTTTGAGAAATACTGCACTAAAGCAATTCAAATGGTAAGTGCCTAAGATGGGTACAGCTGATGTCATGGAACCTCAGGAAATGGAGCCACAAGTAGGGATGTAAGTGACTAAGTATATGGTTATCGGGTAGTTGAGTAGAAACTCAACTAGTCGCTTCCGCCCACTTTGCTGCCTCTATCAGAGAGAGGCAGCAAGGGTGGGAGCAGGAACTGGTGCTGGGGGGAGCCAACTTAAAAGCTGGTTCCCTCCAGGACCATCTCCACGAGGGGCAGGGGAGATAGACACGTAGCAGGGGACAAGGCATGGGGGACCTAGCAGGTTTTAATCATTTATAAAGCAGAAGTGCAGCGAGCGATACTGGGCATAAGCTAGGAATCAGTTGTCACAGCTTGCACCTGGTGCCCTCCACTACACTTCAGCCTTTAAAATGTATTAAGAGCCTGAAGGTTCCTAGACCTCTGGTGTCTGCCACACAGCTATCCCAGATGCCGGGAGGTTGCGGGCTGGACTTGGGACCATGGAGCCAGGCAGCAGCCCCAGAGTTTGTGGGCTGGAGCAGAAGCCCCAACCCTTGGAGTCTGCAATGTCCAGTAGCCTTTTAACGCACACTGGGCTACAGCTGTGTGCTAACTGCTGCATGTGACACGGGTTGAGAGCCACTCATCTATTCCCTCAAACTGGTGACAGAACTGCTAGTAGGAACATCAATTCCTGTTTCTCACAGCAGCAAAAGACATAAGAAGCTCAAGTCCATTTATACATTTCTTCTAGGTTTAACTTAATTAGCTCAATCAGTCCAATGCCCCATGACCTTGTCACTATCTCTGATCAACACAGTGCTTGTACACAGATTGCTGGTCACCACTGCTGACTTGGGGGACTATTCCTGAGGGCAGACAAGGTCTCAGAATGGCAAGTGGCCCCAAAATTCTCTCTCCTCACTCCACCTGTGACTTGCACTTGTCAGTCAATTCTCCACAACTCCACCTTGCAGGAAAGAGGCTGGAAGGGATTTCTTCAGTAAAGTCAGACCCAGTTTACCGGGTGATTAAGCATAGAAATAAATTTAACTGGATGGAAGTTTTAAAATCTGTAATTGTCTCTTAATTGACAAAGTGATATCTGCCTGAATCAGAAACAATTGCTCAGAAGTAGAGCTGATCTATTCCTCTCAATGGAATGCAAACAAAATTTAATGACTATTTAAAATGATGGTGAGCAACCTGCAGCCAGAGAGCCACATGAAGCCCATTGGGATTCAATTTTTGGCCTGAGACACATTTTGTTTACCATTATTCACACACAGATTTTACTGGTTTTTGTCCCCGTCATTTTTCTCCTATTGGTATTGTTAAAGTCACACACACTTAATGCAAGGGCAGGTGAAATGAGTTGCAGGCTGACTGCACACAAAATTGACTGAGAACCATGTGCTCCTTCTGCATCCAATCAAAGCGCTGCTACAGTTCAACTGGCACACCCCACAATTTCTAGGTACATAAGAGCAGTTAGAAAAACTATCCTATCCCAGAAGACGACCATTTTGGCTATGACAAACTTGTGGCCCACTAACATGAGTGAGTAGTAAGAATGGCCCTCCAAAAGCCTAGGCTGCCACTCACTGTTTTCAAGTGCCAATATTAACGATTCCACCAGTGTTCATTTTAGAAGAAATATAAGCCAAGGTGATAACCCAGCCTTGTAGCCCATAATGGCTGATACTCAGACAAATACATAGGGAGTTGGTTGCTATAGTTAAGGATTTGTTTAGGGTAATGGAATTCAAATCCCACTCCCCTCAAATTTTAAGTTCCTCTGCCTCTGGACACAGCAGAACCCAGATTCTGGTGCCATGAGACGCATAAACAGATGGGTCTGCATAGTGCTGCAAGTATGGGACGATCAGAAGTGGCTGCAAGACTTACAAATGTGTAGGGGCTGATGATGAAACATCCCGTGTGATCCGTCATCAGCATATGATGGTCAGGAAAGGTGCATGACACATACATCTTTAGAAATTCCTGCTTGTTCAGCAAGTTACAATCTGAATTTTTTTTCCTCGAACTGGAAAATTACAATCAGAGATGCCAACAGTAGTCTGCCTATCCCACCCTCCCATGGCTCAAAGCCATATAAGGGCATCCTGCACTGCAGCAAGGAGCAGTTCAACCAAAGGCTGAACAAGTGCAGAATGGTGGTAAGATGTACTTTTTGGCTTTTAAAGGGAAGGCTGCGCAGTCTTCTAACTAAATTAGACCTCAGTGAAAGCAACATTACCATTGTGGCTGCCGCCTGCTATGTACTCTATATTTGTGAAAACAAGGGGAAACGTATCTGTCCAGGTGGAA